TAACTTTTCGTTTTAAATTAAAGTGTTAGAGAAAAGCTACAAGAATAGTACAAAGATTCTCCTCTATCATAGGATGATTTACTTTTGTAGAGACTGGGAGGAAAGGCTGCAGGAGGTCGGGCTTCTCCTTGCCCAACTCGAGGCAGGGTGGTATTTTACGTCACTGACACTCCCAGGGTAGAGCATGCATGACACCCGCAGAGAAGTGGAGGAGACTGTGCAAGTGTGAAAGCAGTGACATTACTTACAAAGCTACTTCAAAAGTCCACATTTCAGGGCTTCCAGTGGCCTATAGAACTTCCTAAACAACATGCCCCCGGAAACTCTATGACAAATGTCTCTTTGATAAATGTAGACAGTTGTAGAGGGGCTTCAGGCTTTTTGTTCGCAGGATTGCTATGAGCTGTGCTTGACTCAGAAAGCAATCAAAAATAGCAGCAGCGGTATATCAGTTTTCAGGTCTTTTAAGAAAACCAGTATTTTCAACAATGAAGGACTGGAAACCCTAAGACTCTGTAAACCTCATTAAAATTAATTTAAAAAAATGAAAAAAAGAAAACCAGTATCATTATTTTATTCTCAATTCACAAATTCATACTGAAACAATAAATAATATTGCCTCATCTATTTGGCTTCAAATGTATTAAAATATATTAACTATTCCTAATAGTTGTTGCTGTTGTTATGTGCCGTCGAGTCGTTTCCGACTCATAGCGACCCTATGCACAACAGCCCTAAACCCGGCTCTATCCTGCGCCAACCGCACCGCCTGACACACCCATCCCAATTACCCCAGTCACCGAATCAATCCATCTCATAGAGGGTCTTCCCCTCCTGCGTTGTCCCTCAACCCTCCCAAGCATGATGTCCCTCTCCAAGGACCCGTCCCTCCTGGCAACATGTCCAAAGTATGTCAGACGAAGCCCCAGAATCCTTGCCTCCAAGGAGTAGCTTGGTTTAATCCTCTCCAAGATAAATCTGTTTTCCTGGCAGTCCAGGGTACATTCAGTACCCTTCTCCAGCACCACAGCTCAAAAGCATCCACTCTCCTTCTGTCCTCCCTAGTCATTGTCCAACTCTCTGATGCATAACACGTGATTGCAAATACCATGGCCTGTATCAGGCGCACCTTAGTCTCCAGAGAGACACTGTTGCTCCTGAGTACCTTAGAGAGGTCCCTAACAGCAGACTTTCCCATCGCGATACGCTTTTTGATTTCCTGACTGCTGGTGCCAAGAGTGTTGACTGTGGAGCCAAGCAAACTGAAGCTATGAACAATCTCAATCTCTTCACCATCCATCCTGATGCTGCCGATTGGTCCAGTGGCGAGAATCTTTGTCTTCTTGACATTGAGCCTTAGTACATACTGAAGGCTGCAGTCCTTGACCCTTCGCAGCAAGTGCATGAGGTCCTCCTCAGTTTCAGCAAGCAGGGTTGTGTCATCTGCATAACGGAGATTGTTAATAGACCTTCCACCAATCCTAATAGAGAACTTTAAAAAAATTACTAACACTGGAAGTGTTTAAAGAATGCTTTTGAAATAATTCCAGAAAAACACTTTCATATTCAGTTAAGAAGCGTGTGCACAGTCTCATAATAGAAACACGTTAGAGGGAACAAAGTCATGTTGCTGGAACATTCTAGGTTCGTTGTTTCACAGCTGATACGACTTTTCTATCCTCTACTTTTATCAGATTTGATTTTCTTTACGTAAGATCATAAAAAATTCCACTTAAGCAAGTCCCTTTGTCTTAGATGACCTCTCCCTCCTAGTAATACTGTGCGGCTAAAAGCCAAAAGTTCAAGTACTGAACTTTTCTGTGTTTCTACACTTATTCAAGCTCATTTCTCAAGTCAGTGTAACTCCAGGTTTACTACAAAAGTTCTATGGATACAAAGAATTCATGAAATACACACAACATGAATGAAATTAGAACAAATGAAGCCAAGTGAAATAAGTCACAAAAGGACAATTATGGTACAAGACCACTAATATAAATTAAAAACAAAAGGAAAGCAGTTTATACATAGAAACAATTTTAGAATTGTTTGGAATTTTAACAGAGATGAGAAGGGAGAGGGGAGCAAAAAAAGAAAAATTTTTGCCAAATATATGAATGATTTTCTCTATATATATTCAAGAAGGAGGGGATGAACTAGTCACTTGGTGGTGTTCAACTCCACCAGCTGCTCTGTAGAAGGTGGGTCATTTCTTCTCTTACGATCTACAGCTACTTGTAGCTGACCCGCAGCTGATTTTTAGACTTGGCTGCACAACTCTTGGATTCTGACTCAGTGGCAATGAGCTGAGCCATTGATTCTCACTAAAAACACAGACAAATTGAAGAGTAAAGTAGAAACATCTAGCAGTACTTGGGTGACCTGACAGGAAACATTTGTTCTCACAACTTCAGTCACACGGGAGCCTGAAGCTACCGCACCAGAGCTTACAAAAGGAACGGGAGCAGAGTTTCTGTTCTGTGGCAGGTGCTTGATTAAGTAGAAGTGAGAATTACCATATATGTCCGTCAAAGACAAATCTTCACTTTTTCTCGAGTAAGAAGAAATGCTTTTGAAGGAAAAAGAAGTGGATTTCTGCTCTGCTCATTTAGTTTCTTTAAGAAAAAAGGGAAAAATACGTTAACAATTGAACCATCAGAGTACTCAGAAGAAAGCATTCCCTAACAAAGAAAGAGTGTTAGGACTTTATTTAGAGTTTTCAACTACAATTGCATTTTTATAATCTATGGTTAAGGAATCTTCATGTAAGCATTCAGAAAGACTATGAGGGAAGACTCTCATACTTTGTTATTGCTGTCATGTGCCATCAAGTCACTTGTGACTCATTGTGACCCTATGTACAACAGCTCTGAACCCTGCTCTATCTTCAGCCAACTTCACTGTCTCTGACACACCTACCCCGATCACTCCAGTCACCAAAGTCAATCCATCTCATCTAGGGTCTTCCTCTCTTGCGCTGTCCCTTCACCCTTCCAAGTATGATGTCCTTCTCCAAGGACTGGTCCTTCCTGGTTACATGCCCAAAGTATGTCAGATGGAGCTATGTAATCCTTGCCTCCAAGGAGTAGCCTGGTTTCACCCACTGCAGGACACATCTGTTTGTTCTCTTGGCAGTCCATGATATGTTCAACACTCTTCTCCAGCACAGCTCAAGGCATTGATTCTCCTAATGTCCAGCTTTCTGATGCACAGCAAGTAAGTGGGAAGACCATGACTTAAAAGCTCTCAATTTTGCGTTCTATTTACTAAAAACAACAACAACAACAATTAAGGACAGTTCTGCATATTTATTAATATCTATTTTTCTTCATTTGGCTCATTAATTATGAAATAAATTATAAAATTCTACCAACTATAAATTTAAAAAAAATCTATTAAAAGTTTCAAAGAAAATGCTAGCGCAGAGCTGCCTTTAAGATGTGCTGATTAGTTGCTGAGGGTTCTGTGCAGACAACACAAGGATGATCCCTCTCCTGCTGTTCCAAGTTCACAACACATCTGAAATAGTTTCACTCTTTTTCTTCGCTTAATTAACTGTGCTGCGATTGAACACAGCAGATAATAACGGGGATTATTAGTGAGACGTGGTAAAAGCAAAAGCTTATGACCACTTAGCAGATCCTGTAAACCTAAAACATACCTCAGCTTTTCTAGTCTCAACCTGCCGCTCTTACTTATTAAATGATTTACAAACAACTGTTAGATGACTTAATGAGCGGGCTGAACCTGGTCACTGCAGCTCTGCTCATCCCAAACACAGATGTGTGTAAAACCAAGCCGAGCAGTCACCATTTAAAGGAGGCTGGGGCAAGGAAAACACAAACACAAAACCACAGCTATTCTTAAGTTACGCTACATTGTTTTAAGTATTTCATTTGAAAGTTTACCTGAGCAGTGCACCATGTTGTGTTCCAAAGCGCAATCTTTGGAAATGGAGTTTTTTTAAAAAAGCAGGCCAGAGGTAAAAAATGAAAAAAAAAAAAACAAAACCTGAACAAACTTGGCAAACAAAACCAGTGAATAATTTCCAATCAGTGGCTACTAATGGGAATATTCATTTTATACAGCAAGTCTTGAAAACATTTAGTATTCTTCAAACAGGCATTGGATAAAATAGTCTTCAGCTAGCATTCTCCATAATGGGGCATCACACACAAAAATATGGCTTTATTACAAGGGATTCAAGATGGCAACTACTTAGAATCCAGTGCCAACACGGATTAGAACAAATCCAGTGAGTATTTTGTTTTTCAATTATTCATAGAAAATTTAATCCTGATTAAGTATCCTTGGGCAGGAATTCATGGGTAGTTGATGACTGAAACCAACATTTATGTGAAATGCTTCTGTTAATTTAATCTGTGTATACGGCTTAATTATGATTGGGGATTCAATGTAAGAGAAATGCATTATATGAGGATTAATATTTTAGTACCAAACCACATAGTACTTTTTCTTCCTTTTTTAAAACACACGTGAATCTGCTTCTTTCATCATATTTTTTCCCATTTTAAAACTGTTCACTCTCACAACGCAGGTAATTTATATTTTATTTTGCATAAATTGACATAAACTTTTTGTTAATAAAGCTAAAAATGCAACTCGAGCCAAAAATGATAGGAAAAAAACTGAAGAATAACCTCACCCACAAATAAACAAAAGTTACTTATTTAGCTGCAAACATTATATACTTATTTTCTGAACTGAGTTCATTTTCAATTCCTATACACTCCAACATGAAATGCATATTCTGTAAAGCATAAAAAAGTAGTTTTAAATCAGCATTATCATACTGATTTTATAACTGGACAATTGTGTGTGTGTGTGTGTGTGTTTGTAGAAATATATATATGTAAAACCAAGTAATCATTTAACTGATTACTTTTTATAATAGTATCAAACCTGAGTTAGCTATATTGACATAAGATGAGGCATGACAGATGGTGAGTATTTTATCAAATAGCATAAAGTAAATACTCTTTTCACCTTGATTTCCACAGGGAAACTGTTTCAAGTCCTCTTAGAACAATAACCTTTCTTAAAAGCTTATTGTTTGAGTCTATTTCAAAATATTTCCTTTATTATCTTCTCTGATTTGGGGTACTGCTTAAATGCAGTCATAAAAATAACATGCTCTACTTTCTTTCTTTGTTCCATTTTTCATACCAAATGTATGAAAAAGAAAGTCACTGTATTTGGATCCATATTGCACTCCATTAAACCAATTCACTTCTCCTTTGTGAATAAGATCAAGTCTCAGAAATGAGGCCGACTTTTGTGTCCCGAGGATACGGTTAGTGGCAATGTCACCGAGGAGAGCGAGGAAACCTCCCAGTACAGACTATGGGACAGGAAGAGTCTATACAGAATAACCATGGAGACTGACTGGCAGAGGATAACACCTATTGTGATAACCTGTAAAGGAAAAAGAGAGAGAGAGCTTCTACTGTTTGCAGAAACACAAACATTATATTCAATTTATCATGAATTTCTACACACTTCTAAGAGAACTGTATTGTACTACATTTCATCTTTACTGAGGGTACATGTTAGCAAAGACATTTTCAGGAGAAAAATATGACTAATATTTAGAATTGTAACTGCTCAAGGGTAACGTTCCTTCCATGGTTTATAGATGGCAAAGACACAAAAGAATAATTCCCTAAACCATTTTCTCTAAAGGATAGCACACTGCAGAAGGCAGTTTCTCTAAGTAATACGAAAAATTCAGGTTCCTGGGTAATACAGGAATAAAACATATACCTCTCCAGAACTTGAAGAATACATAAATCCTTTCAAAAATCATCCAGGCGCTTCTCTATTTACACAGATTACCTTTTGATCTATTTACCTATGTAAAATAACTCAAGTTCAAAAAATATCTGTGTATCTAAATCATACCACACTGCCCACAAAGGGCTCTGAGCAGAACTCCATTTTGAAATGACGGTGCTCTTCACTTAAGAAGGTAGGTATCAACACAGCCCAAGTATGCCAACCTTGGCTGTCACCCGTTAAAGGAACCAGAGGGATTTTTAGAATTCTACCTTGATTTTTCCATTACTTGGCAAAATTGTTTTTTATTTTAATAACATGAGTCGCAGGCGACTCGACGGCACATAACAACAACAACAACAACAAAGTTGTATTATGGATTCCCTAATTTCATTTCTAAAATGAGGCTAAAATAACAAGTTATTTCTCTTTTTTCCCCATTTTGCTTAAACCTCTACTTTATCCCCTTATTAGTTCAATGGTTTGTTTCGAAGTTTTACTTTCAAGCACACAAGAAATAACTGAAGAGATACACATGTCCTGCCTCTTTAAATAATGAAATACCATTAATTTTTTAAAAAAAATTCCGATTTTGACCAAGCATGTTACTTACCTTATCTCTTTGGTAGTCACTGAAAAAGATGGAAATGCAAGCAAGGCCTGGATGGCATAAAAACCACAAGATACAGCCCTGAAACAATTCATAAGGAGTCGTTAAGGACGATGCACACAGACGTATCTTCACAACGTATGTGATATGACTAGAAGTGTGCAAGATTTTAGGGGGCTCTGGTGGCCTGGTGCTTAAGGAATTGCACTGCTGACCTAAAGGCAAATGGTTCAAATCCACCAGCAGCTCTAAAGGAGGGAGACGGGCAATCTCTTGTGTGCGTTACAGCTTCTGAAAACCCAGTTCGACAGCAATGGGTGCATTCCCAGCATATTTGGGATGTGAGAACTGCCTGGAAAACTCACTACCTGTGCGTTTCCAAGGAGGGAGGGGGAGCAGGGCAGAGGAGGGTGACACTCGGCAAAAAGGGGAAGATAATCTGAACTGAGGCAATTTTCTTGTATTAAAATAAAATTGCACCTTAGTGAATAGGGGTTTTTGATGTCTGATTTGTTAAAGAGACAGGAAATTAACAACAAAAAAATGTGGCTAATAGGCTCCTATGTGTATAAAAACAAACAAACAAACAAAATACATAGGCATATATAATAAAATTTCTGTACATGGAAAAACTAGAAACTGTTAGTAATTATATGAGGCAATAATAACTGATTAGATGGAAGAAAAGGGAGGAAACCCTTTCTGGTTTCCTTCTGATATTTGAAGATATTCAAAACAAAAATTTAAAATATTTTTTAAGTTTAAGAAAGAGTTTGAGATTGTTTCATATAAGAAACAAAGAAAAAGTGTTTAAGACTGTTTCAAATATGAAACAAAAAAGAAAATGTAATATTTAGATACACTGAAGGTATAAAATAAATACTTATGTCTTTGTTAGAAACTCCAAAGAGTGAGATTTTTGTGTCTCTCTGGGATTTGGAAGTCTGAAGCTACTTCTGAAGGCAGCAGAAATAATCATGAACTGCTCAATATTAGGATTAAAGCAAAGTGTCCTTTCAGCCACAGCTGCTCTGGGACGGCCAGGAGAGGCTGACTGACTACATAGCTTCTCCCAACATGGCTCTGAACTGCTAAGACAAAAAAAAAGTGACAAAGTGACAGAAAAACTTAACATTCTGGGAAAGGGGTCTCTGTAAAGCTACATCACCAAACCCTCTCCTAATTTTTGTTCCTTTGTTAAAAAAGGTATACAACTTTCGTGATTGGGTGTAAGACTCAATACTGCTTTGAGATCTCTATAACATAAAGACAGACAGGAGACATAACGTACATACGATCACATCTGAATGGAGTAAAACAGCTGAAACACAGTATGTGCTCAGCCTTCTAGCTCCATTGGGTTATGATGCTCTTCATAGTTTTTATGAAACACTACTTAACTTTGGGAGTAACAGTTCATGGTCAGTATCTGTTAACATTGCCTCATCTTAGTAAAAAAAAACAACTTTTAAACTACAGAAAATAAAATAAAATTGCTACTTATTAAAGGGGGGGAAATGTGATACAGGCAAAAATCAACCTGCTCATACAGGAAATAATGTCTCACAAGTTCTACAAAAGGAAGCTGACAGTGCCTGCGTCTCACAAGCTGTGAAGATTATATTAAGTACAGAATGGGCATGGTACATAATCAAATTTCAGTACTATGTTAGCATATGGTTGCTGGTAGCCTCCCAGAGAAATACAAATGAAGGTGCTAATCAGAAGCGACCTCCGTCCCAGAACACGTACTTTGGCAAACGTGGTGTAGAACTCCCGTTTCAGGGTACTTCTCTCCACAGTGATGATCTGGTACAGTCCGCAGCCTAACGACAATGCCAGGCAGATTCTCAGAAGGATCAGGAGAAGCCCTGCCAAGTTGTGATGGGAATGGTGACTGTGGTGACCGGGGTCTTCAAACTGTTCCCAAAGTAGCAAAATACTCTGCAAAAAAACCCCAAAATTACACTGCCGAGAAAAGATTCTCACTTCTTAAGATACGGCACCTTTTCAAGTCTTTTTATAAACATTAGCATTAGTGAAAAGACTGTGAAACTAATCACACTATAAAAGTTGTTAATCAATACAGTACAGATATATAGTACAATATAGTACAAATAATCTTCTCAGCTATTTTTTTTCAAAGAAAAATTTTTTTACGAGACCATATACCAGAAGGATAACAACTGTTCTTGCTACCATGATTCTGTACGATGCCTTAACAATGAAAATAAATGGAGAAGGTTAAGACAATAAAAAGTCCAATTTTCTTCTAATTCTTCTAACTTCAAAGCCATCATCAGGAATCAATCTGTTCTACATGCAATTCCACTCTCTCGGTTCGGGTAACTTTCAAACATCTACATATTTTTCTGATCTATGAACTTAACAAATCAAAATTAATGATCTCAATTTTCACTTGTTTTAACATGGTAAAGTCCTTGGCTAAAGGAGAACATATTTCTAATACTCGTTATAAGTGCTCAGATTATTACTATTTCTCCTAATTGGACTCTTCCTAATTGTTATAACAGAAGTAAAATGAGCAAGTTCTGATTTAGCTGTTCCATTCAGCAGAAATCATTTTTCTTTGTCTTTTATCTTGGCCCAACACTAGCTATCTAGATTACTATACACTTGTTGTTGTTATGTGCCGTTGAGTTGCTTGTGACTCATAGAGACCCTATATACAACAGCTCTAACCCTGTTCTATCCCATGCCAATCTCACTGTCTCTCACACGCCAATCCCCAAAACCCCAGTGACGGAATCAATCCACATCATCGAGGGTCTTCCTCTCCTGTGCCTTTGAAAACTCTATGTACAAATGTACTATACAGCTACTCCTCAATAATCAGCATGGTTAGATTCCAAAGACCATGCTATTATTTGAAAACTGATATTACTCAAAAACAACAAACGAAAAAAAGAGTATGGCTACGTCAGATGGAAAAATGGAGGATGATTAAATCATAACTGAGAATGACATTCCAGCCAAGTCGACACATAACCTCAACCACCATGGCCAAGGTCACTCCCCTAGAAACCCAGTGTTCGTTATTGTCAGACTACAACATTAATTCACAGACAACAGATTTTTTTAATATTGTCTTAAATGCAAAATGGTGGATAATGAGGCAGTCAATGAACAAGGTTTAAGTGTAAAGTTCTGACCGTCACATATCCTTTCTTCATCAAGTCAACTCCAGAATGGAGGCCTCCATGGCTTTGAAGAATTTAAAATAAAATCTCAAGTTTCTATTTTTAGGTTTGATGGTTGTTGTTTTTTTTGTTTGGTTTTTAAAAAATAGAATTTATCAGCAATCTCTTGGCTTCTTAATTTTTCCAATCTTCTACCTTAACTGCTCGACTTGAAGGCAATCAACAACTACAACCTTAACTTTACTCTTGCTACTGTGATATCATCATTCTTGACAGGTGAAGTCCATTGTCATCTCTAAACATGACGTTTCCATCAATATTTGTTCTCCGTTGTTGGAAATGTTTTTCTTTTCTAATGTAACAGAAATGCTACTATAAAGCGAATATTTCACATATTTACAAACCTAACTCCTACATTTTAATATCATGTACTAAATTATTAGCTATCTATATTTATCTTCCTGATTGTCTTTGGCTTTCTGGCTTCTCTGTTTTGCTGGGCTGCCATTAAATACTAAGGCCGTTTAACTTGGTGTCCACGTAAACACTTATATAAACTCTAAGTGTGCTGTCAAAAGATGATCTTTCAATTTGTAATCAGATGATACTTCTTTTCATTTACACAACATTTTATGTAAATGATTACATAAACTGTAGTATGCTTTGAAAAGATGATCTTTCAATTTGCATTTGTCTAGGCTAATAAATGAAAACTACAATCAAATTAATTTTATTTTAAGAGAAGTAAGACTCTAACTTGATACTACCACTATTTCATAATACATTGTATTTTCCTGCATCAAAAACACTGTTAGCAGAATTTTTCCCTTCTTTTAATCACTTCTAATATTTTTTCTCATTATCCCTCCTCTCCTAAAACTTTACCTTTTTTCTAAATATCACCACCTATGATTGATTTATTTCTCAAATAATGAAATTCAACAGACTAACTTTACCTCGTCTATAAAATAAATACTAAGGGTATAAAGAGGAATAAAGTAAAGTTTTTCCCCTTTACAATGAACTTTAAACATTAATGAATTGACGTTTTAGATAATAATTTTCTTTACTGAGGTCAGGTGCATATTTCATTTCTATCTATTAGCTGATGCAATCTTAAAAGTTTACGATCTTTTAAGTTTATACTTGTCTTAACTTTTAGAAATCCACCTCACACAGGCAAATATCTTAGAATAAATCTTAGTTTTATGATGAAAAAGAAAAATGTATAAAGAATCTTTCTTAAAAAACCTAGATTTGTTTAGAAAATCAGGCCCCACTCTTTTTCACTCTGCATTTTTCCTTTATATTTATCTCAGTTACTCATTTGATTTCTTATGTACATTGATTGTAGCAAAAGTTCATCTAAAGATCCTTATAAATGGATGTATCTCAAATCAGTTGTACTATGTGTTATTATGTATTAGAAAATCCAAATGAAAGAAATGTAAAAGGAAATGAGAATCTAGCCTAAATAGCCTCAAGTACGTTGATATCAACACCCTCTGCCGTGGCATCAATTCCACCTCACAGCAGCCGTATAAGACATAGGGTAGGCTGATGGATTTTGCTCCCATGACGTTGCTGATGGGTTTAAACTGCTAACCTCTCAGTTAATAGCTTAAATCACTGTACCAGCAAGACTCACATTCTACTAAGTTACAATTAAATTCTCTATATACGAGCATCCTGTAAAACAATAGATCATCAGAACTACTACTCTTTAAAGACATACTCATGAATGGCACATATTCCTCCCAGGTTTGAATTTATAACTCTGCACAGCAGAAACACCGAGGATCCAGACTCACCTGTGTTATGACAATGAACACGGCGATGCCTGTGGATGCAGGAGTGGAATCCCACTGGAGAGGTCTGCTCTGTGACTTCTTCATTCGGACTATTGTCCATCCCATGCACAGACTCAGAAGTAGGTATAGCATCTGAATTTGCGAAGCAATGTCAAAAACTAAAGGGAAATAAAAACCAGAGTTAACCAAATCACCAGAGTGCAAAGACTTTGTTCCTTACTGCACTGAAAATTATTTAACATTTCATTTTTAAAACCAGGCATTTTTTCCCACATAGAAACAGAAAATGTTTTAAGATATTCATGTTTAGTAAGTCTAAAAATGTCATTTACCATTACCATATTTGCAAGCTTGTTTTTATTTTTTTCTACTTTAAATGATATTTTCTTTTTTTAATTTTACTTTACACTGGTTTACTTACACTGTTTGTATACATTGTTTTCCACATCGAATCTTTCTCCTTTCCTTTGCCTACCCTTTCCTCTGCCCCTCAAACTGTGTGACCCTAAGATTAGTTAAAAGCTAAAACAATGATGACATTAAGATCAACCATAAATTGCCTTGTATTTTCTGTTTTTATAATTATGTAATTCTGTTTTCTATAATTTATTACCTAGTAAAAAGAAATATTAAATCTAACTTCTGCAATGGGAAGTGCATTAGCACTTCATTTCTGTATTATTAAATATTTTTTAATGGCTAAACTGTAACACAGGGAGTACAATATTGTCCAAGACCATTAACAGAAATAGCACAGTGTGCTGCATCACCATACAACATCTACTGGTGTGGGCTTCATTCTCAGAGTCCTGAACACAAACAAAAAGCTCAATGCATTAGTAGTACAATGTGCCACCAGGTGGCCGCCCCTTACATTGCAGGGGAAGCATGCTCCTCTAAAAAGACCCAGCAAAATCACCTGTATCCAGTTAAGTACTAAAGAAAACATTACAAATCTATAGATGTTTCCAGTTTCAAGCATATTGCTTTAGAAGATAGTTACTGATCCAACATACACATCAATTATGAGTCTGGGACAAATAAACTTGCGACTGTTGTTATTATGCTTATGACTGTTGTTGGGTATGCTGTTAACTTGTGACTGTTGTTGTTAGGTGGTTGTTGTTATGTGCCATCGAGTTGCTTGAGACTCATAGTGACCCGAAGTACAAGAGCCCTAAATACTGTTCTATCCTGTGCCAACCTCTCCATCTCACACACTCGCATTCCCACCACTCCACTCACAGAATCGATCCATCTCATTGAGGGTCTTCCTCTCCTGCGTCGTCCCTCCACTCTCCCAAATATGATGTCCCTCTCCAAGGACCAGTCCCTCCTTGCAATATGCCCAAAGTATGTCAGACGAAGCTTCAGAATCCTTGACTCGAAGGAGCATTCCAGCTTCACCTTCTCCAGGACAAGCCTGTTTGTTCTCCTAGCAGTCCATGGTATAGTCAACATTCTTTCTCCAGCACCACAGCTCAAAGGAATCAATTCTCTTTCTATCATCCCTATTCACTGTCCAACTCTCCGATGCATAGCACGTAATTGCAAAGACTACAGCTTGGATCAGGTGCACCTGAGTCTCCAGCCTGATATCGTTGCTCTTCAGTACTCTTGAGAGGTCCCTCACAGCTGACTTTCCCAATACAATTCGTTTCCTGACTTCCTGGCTGCTGTTACCAAGAGTGTTGACTGTGGAACCAAGTAAACTAAAACTGCTAACTATGTCGAACTCTTCACCATCCATACTGATGCTGCCAGTTGGCCCAGTGGTGAGAATCTTTGTTTTCTTGATGTTGAGCTTCAATCCATAGTGAAGGCTGCAGTCCTTGACCTTCTGCAGCAAGCACTTCAGGTCCTCCTCAGTTTCAGCGAGCAGGGTTGTGTCATCCGCGTAACAGAGGTTGTTGATGATTCTTCCACCAATCCTGATGTCACGTTCCTCCTCATACAGCACAGCGTCTCGGATGATCTGTTCTGCATACAGATTGAAAAGGTATAGAGACAGAATACATCCCTGACGGACCCCCTTCTTGATTTTGAACCATCCACTGTCTCCCTGCTCTGTTCCGACAACTGCCTCTTGGTCTAAGAATAGGTTTCGCATTAGCACAATCAAATGCTCTGTGATTCCCATTCTTCTCAGAGTCAGCCACAGCTTGTCGTGGTGGCTGTTGTTGGGTACGCTCTTAGCTTGTGACTGTTGTTATGACTCATAGGAACCCGATGAATAACAGATGGGAACTCCCCCCTGCTCTGTGGGGAAAGACGAGCAATCTCCTCCCATGCAATTCACTGTCTCTGCAGACCCCAGAGAGGGCGAGCTATGGGTCAGTTCTGACGTGACAGTGCATAACAACAAAGAACAATAAATATATGACTGTAATTTGACATGATAAGTAGAATACTCTTATCGCTTATTTTTTTAAAACGAATAAACAAATCACACAGAAATTCCATTCTAGACTGAAACTTTAATTTCTTAACAAGTCAGGTCACAAAGGAGATTAATCAGAACTGGCTTTGACAAGCACTGTGGCAAATGGACAATTAAAACGGACTTTCAAGGGGGGGGGATAAAAAAGAAGAACAAACTGGGGAGGAGGATAGAGAAAATAGTGCAACAATGAACGAATGAAAACCCAAAATCTCTGTAAATGTTCATTAAATTAATAAAATTTAATAATTAAAAAAAAGGAAAAAAAAACAAGTCAGGTCACTTATCAGCACTATTAAAAATGCACAACATCAATTTTCTACAAGTTTTTGGTTTTGTTTGTAAACTTCTGCTTTTCAGCCTTCAACAAAGAGATTGTATGAAGTTAGCCACCACATGATACCATATAAAAAAGACTAGAAAAAAAAAATATATGGAAACATAAGGGGGGAAAAAATCATCTTAGGAGGATTTCATATTAAAAACAAATTTTTTAATAGTTTGGCTCTACAGTGCAGAGGAGTTTCCCTTTAAGACTTTACACACGGCTTCCTGACTGGTGAAATCTCCTCAGTGAAGCCTTCAGGAGGCTCCCATTGCCACGCATCCTTCTTCCCTGTTCCCCTCGTCTTCTGAGCCTTATTCTGTGTTAATGTTCTTTCGATCTCAGTCTGCCAGGCTGGTCGTACTGAGGATACCGTCTTTCCTGGTGTTACCATTCATTTCACAGGCCTTGCTGTGTGGCTGACAAGTTGGTCCTGGGGCCGGGTACGGCTACAGTTTGGAAGACCGTCTACAGATTAGTCTTGGGGGTCCCATTAGTCTCTACCACACCTGTCTGGTCTCCTTTATGTTTTTAAATATTTTCTATATTCTGACCCCGTCTGTCCAAGACCTTGCATTGTGGCCATATTCTGAGTGGTCAGTAGTGACAGCTGGCATCACTAGCTGTTCTGGTCTCGAAGCAGTGGACACTCGTTCCTGGGGTGCCTTGTCCTTTGGAATCAGTGTTTCCTGAAGTCATGTTCTTCACACTTCTTTGCATCAGACGAGGAGAGACTAGTTGCATCTTAGACAGCAGATCAAATGCTTTGAAGGCCTCAGCTGCTCCCAAAACACGATGCCGGACACTAACTCTGTGCACTATCTTATGGGACTGCCACAGACGTCCCTGAGGCTGTGGTCTTAAGTCCCCAAGCCCAGTGAGGCTTGAGGCTGCAGAACTCGGGCTCCTAGACCTATTAAAAGACTTGAGGATGTATCTGCAGCACATACAGACGTGAGGTGTCATTTCGTCAGTTCAGATTTATGGTAGGCATAATCAGAATGAAAACTGCCCAGTTCTGCCCACCTTCACATTCACTGTTAACCTAAGTCCACTATTGTGGTCACTCTGTCAATACATGGACAAATACAAACACAGAAACTCTCTGTGCCAAACCATTTATGTCCTTACAGGTATAGTCCCACTCACCCTCCCCTCATCTATTTGATAACTTTACATGCCTACCTACTTTTGTATTTGTAGATACGATTTGTTATTATTATTTTTATTATTGCAAGACTATGTACATCGTAACATCTACCTTTCCTGACTTACTCCTGTGTACTCCCAATGACTTCTACTGCCCCTGGTCATGCAGAGCTGCTCTTCCCAATCGCCTAATGACTGTCCCTTCACCAGGGTAATACACGTCTACTCTCCAGTGATTTACCGTTCTTCCTCTTCCATGCCTGGTTACCAAGAAAAAGTCTTTTATGCGCAGACATTTTCTTGAATTTTCTTAGAATTGCATTTAGGTGCTGTCGCGTTGAGTCCGACTCACAGTGATCCTATGAACAGATCCGAGTCCTGCCTGATCCTGTCCCATCCTCACAATTTCTGACACACTCAAGCAAACAGCTGCAGTCACCGTGTCTGTCCACCTGGGCGAGGGTTTTCCTCTCCTTGGCCATCCTTCCACCTTTCCAAGCATGATGTGCCTTTCCAAAGAACAGTCTCTCCTAACAGCATGTCCAGAGTATGTGCAATGAAGCTTTACCATTTTTGCCTCCAAGAAGCACTCCTGGCTGTACCTTCTCCAAGAGATATCTGTTGTTCTTACGGCCGTCCATGGGATATCCCGCACTCTTCTCCAACACCCCAATTCACAGGCATCATTCCTCTGTCATCCTTAGTCACTGTCTAGCTTTCAGTTGCATAGTGACTGAAAAGACCACAGCCTGAATCAAGCACACCTCTGTCCTTGATAATTTAGAGAAGCTTTTGACCACAGACGCACCTGGTGTAATGTATCTACTCATCTCCTGACTACTGGTACCAAGTGGACTGGTTGTGGATGCAAATTAAGATGAAGTTGTTGACAGTTTCAATCTTCTCTCTCTCTATAATGACATTCCCTATTGGTCCAGTGGCAAGGATTTTTGTTTTCTTCTGTTGAGATGAAATCCATCTTGAAGGCTGCAGTGTTTAACTTTTTGCAGCAAGTGCTTCAAGTCCTTCTCACTTTCAGTAGTAAGGTTGTCATCTGCATAATGAAGGTAACTGGTGCATTTTCCTCCAATCTTAATGCCACATACTTCTTAACAGAGTTCAGCTTTTCTAATAATATGTTCAGCATACAGACTGAATAGGTATGGAGAAAGGATACAACACTGATGCACACGTTTCTTAATTTTATACCATGTAGTGTTCCCGTGCTTTGTTTGCATAATAGCTTGTTGGTCTAGGCCCAGGTTTCCCAAAAGCATAAGAAAGTGCTCTGGTAAACCTATTCTTCTCAATCGTAGCCATAGTTATGATCAACACTGTCAAATGACTCTGCATAGCCAATAAAACACAGACAGACATTCTTGTGGTATTCTTTACTTTCAGCCAGGATGCATGTGACATCAGCAGTGACATTCCTGTTGCTATGGCCTCTTCCTAAATCCTGCTTGAACTACTAGCAGTTCTTTGTCTATGTGCTTTTCTAGCAGTCTTATATCATTGTTGTTGCTGTTGTTGTTGACTGCCTTTGAGTCAAGCATGACTCATAGCGGCCCTATGAACAAAAGGCCTGAAGTTTCTCTACAACTACTGATGTTTATCAAAGTTCACAGAGTTCCCGGAGGCATGTTGTTTAAGAAGTGGATGCTGCTCCTGCTTCCAGTATCATATACATCAATATATCATTGTGGTCTCATATTATGTTTGTCCTTTTGTGATTGGTGTAATTCATTCAACAAAAAGTCTTTCAAGTTAATTCACAGTATAAAGTGTTTTGCAGATTCTTCATTTTCTTTAAAGTTACATAGTATTCCACTGCATTCATGTACTACATAGTTCATCCACTCCTGTGATGAATAGGTATATAGGTTGGTTCCACCGCTTTGCTCTTCTAAATAAAACTGAGATAAACATGAGTGTGCACACGTCAATTCACTTCATGGCTCTTACTCTTCGTCCTCTAGAACAGCAACATAGTATCAGGACTGTGGATTCTTTGACAAAGTCCAACACCCTTTCTTGATTAAAACACTCAACAAAATAGGATTAGAGGGGAATTTCTTCAACATAGTTAAAAATTATTTATGCAATTCCGAGAGCCAACATTGTTCTCAATGAAGAGAGGTTAAAGGCATTCCCTTTAAGAACAGGAACTAGGCAAGGATGCCCACTATCACCTCTCTTATTCAATATTGTATTGGAAGTCTTAGCGATAGCAATAAGACGAGAGAAAGGAATAAAAGGTATCCAAATTGGCAAAGAGGAGTTAAAATTATCTCTCTGTGCAGATGATATGATAGTATATTTAGAAAACCCCAGAGACCCAGCAAGAAAAGTATTGGACACAGTGGACCAATTTAGCAAAGTGGCAGGATACAAGATCAACATACAAAAATCAGTTGGATTTTTGTACAGTGACAAAGAGAATACAGAGCTGGAGCTGAGAAAAACAATACCCTTCACAGTAGCTAATCACAGGATTAAATAAATACATGGGGATAAATTTAACCAGAAGCACAAACGATCTACTCAAAGAAAATTACAAAACGTTACTATAAGAAACAAAAAGAGACCTTGAAAAGTGGAAAAATATCCCTTGCTCATGGATAGAAAGACTCAATGTTGTGAAAATGGCAATACTACCAAAGGCAATTTACACGTTTAATGCAATCCCAATTCAAATATCAATCCCATTCTTCAACAAGATGGAAAAGGCAATCTCCAGGTCGTCCTACCAGTTGAGTTTATATTCAGTTGCTTACATAATTTTAGTTGTTTAATAGTCTATGCTATAACTAGAGCCCTTTAAATGTATTTTTAATTTTTCTTTGATAATCTTTATAGTGTTAAGATTTTACATTTAGACACTTGACCCACCTTGATTTAATTCTATTTAAGAACCATGAAGTATGAATCTTGTTTCATTTTTCTGTAAACAGATACCCAGAATAACTTTTTTTAACCAGAATCACTTGTGAAAGAGACTATCTACTATTTCCCATTGAATGGGTTTCTGTCCTTTGCTGAGGTTCAGGTGTCCATAAGCAGATGGACCACTGGCTACCATCGCTGCCTACTAGTCCAAAACTGCTTTTTAAGAGCAAATCTTAACTAGTTCTCCAGGATTAAGAATGTCCTGATGTCCCTCTGAATTGTCTTTAAAGTCACGATTTTAGGAACTTTTAAGCATTTTCCTATTATAATTACAAAAAAATTCCTTCATAAGAATTTGTTTTATAAATAACAAAGCTGAACTTAAAGTTAGCTCTATCAAAGGTATAATCAGAACTAGAGGGGGAAAGCCAGTGTAGCAGAATAAGAAATGATGTAAGTGGGAGAAACTTGATTTTGAGTGTGGGCCCGAAGAGACTCAATAGCTCCGAATGGGTGGTCTTGCTGCCTCTTGGGTAACTGCTTCATGTGGTGGAGTTCAGTGTCTTTATATGAAACAGGGATAATCATGTACACCTCACTGAGGTTTTTACTGAGGATAAAATGAGAGCGTGTATAAAAACAAGTTCTAAAATAAAGCCAGGAAGACCAGACTCATTACCTATTATTAAAGAATAAATTAAACAGGACATAGCAGAGCTAATTCTGCAACCCTGTTTTCAGTAAGGCTGAAATCCAACCAACTGTATGACAACAACAACAACAGCAACTAAAATGTCTGTTTTTTTAGAAATAGAACCAAGAAGTAGAGAGCAAGTTTATGTTTGAACAAAATTTTCAGAAAAAATACTCACATTCCGCCAAACTTCCCATGAAAGGTAGCCCTATTCCATCTTTGGAATATCTGAAGAATTGAAGAGGGGAGTATTAGTGTAAATTGCAAAAGTCTAAAAGTCAGTCATAATCACAGCATGCATAAATAAAATACGGTGGACTAATTAGGATTAATGAGATGTAACGACGAGCACGGCCTTAGTGGTTCTGAGTTACCTGGAGAAATGAATGTAATTAGCTAAAGCTGAACCAGCTTGTAACAGCAAGGCCGTTGTCAGAACCTTTAAAATCGTGTGCATGGGTCCGCCCTTCTTAATGGCCTGCCACAGTGACTGGGCATAAATGCAAGCAATCACGAAGTACAGCAGAACGAGGAGGAAGAAGAACTCATGCAGTCCTGGGAAGAGAAGAAAGGGTGCTGCTTCAGTCAAACAAAACCAGAGACAGTGTGGGCTGCTTTCCAATGTGCCTGTCTACACAGCTGTAAAGATAGTTCTGTATCTGCATTCACTTTTGTACCAGAAAAAAGGAAACTATAAAGACAAAACCAGTTTCTACTCTGAGGCAAAATGGTAACCACACGAAAGTAAACTAAACTGCACTCTTAAATTCAGTTTGTTAAAGTCAGCAAACAGGTCCGAAACTCACCATAAAATGACAATTTTCTTTGAAAATCATAAATGAGAACAATAGTTTCAACACTCCAAAGATGCACTTTTCATGTTCAAAGAGGATTTCTTTTGTAAGAGAGTTGGAGACAGTCAGCCAAAGATAATTCGTGTCTCTTGATAATGGTTTTCAAAGTGTGGTCCCTGGACCAGCGACGTCATCAGAGCCTAAAGATGAGTTTTTGGAAATTGATCACTAGGACCTAAAGGTGGGCTGGAGCTTTCTCATCGTTTTATTCAATGTACCACCACAGGACAGAGCAGGGTTTAGGGCTGTTGTACATAGGGTCGCTATGAGTCGCAAACAACTCGATGGCACATAACAACAACAACAACCATTTGTACCACCCAGGGACTTGAGAGTTAAGTAAGGTTAATCAAATTATTTCTTGGAAATTCAAATTAGGAAGTATCAAAGAAAGTTAGACAATCAAAATTGCAGCTGAAAGGTTAGGACAGGTCAGAGGAGTCACAGTGAGCCATGTTGATTTCAATGTCTTGAATGAGCAGAAATTATGACTGCATGATGAGAACTGGTTGGCAGGAAGAAAAACCAAGGAAATCTGCAGATTGCAGATGAGAAATGTCTTGGAGACACAGGTGGCAGTCACTGCAGTCCCGCTAGCCCTTGCTGCGGGGGCTCTGACAGTGTAGTGCGGAGGCAGTGGGCAATGTTAACGCAAAGGCCACGTCTCCCTGGTGGCCTGGATCCACCATCAGCCCCAATGGGCAATCTCCTCCCATGTGATTTATGGCCTCAGAAACGGAGGACTGGCTGGCAGTCCGTTCCAGCTTGCTGGCAGGAAGACAGCTGCTGCCAGCCTTTTTCAGTACAGTCATCATGCGTCTCATGATAAGAATCTCCTTTCTCAAGGTATCTTGTTCGAGTTAGCAGTTTAAAAACTTTCCTCGATCTTTGTAACAAATCAGAAGGCTGGCTTTGATTGAAGGGTTTACACTTACTCGTAATTCCCTCACGGTGGGGCTGAGACCTGGAAGTGCAGTGAGTAAGCACCCAGCTGCTGTGCTGGGTTTGAAATAGTCAGCCAGGCATTGCATGGGGAGAAGATAGGACCATTAGCTTCCCTTCAGACGACAGCCTTCAGAACTCTGTGGAGCAGGGCTACTGGGCCCCTAGGCTGCTGAAGGATTGCTGACTCAGGACTCATGCCACAGGTCTGGGAGTGGTTTCACATTCGCCTTATGTAACGATGGAGGGTAGTGACATTGGTTGTGAACAGAGCTGTCTCTAAGTCTGCAGGTGCACAATATAAACCGCGGTGCCTTTCATTCCAGCCGTGAACGTCGAATCTGCTCCAGTCTTCCATTCAGGGTAACGGTCAATAGGGAGACAAGGAAATACATCCAGTGTGTGAAGAATAATTTTGGAAAAACAACCACAAGATATTAAAAAATGAGTCAAAAAAATAGTTCAATGATTGAATTTTTTTTTAAAAGAGGCAAGCAGTATTTTAGCCACTGGGTGTCTCTCCTGCTCTACATATTTAAGTACTGCGAGTCCACTCTTCTAATCCAGATAAAAAAGCAAGTTTACAAAAAGATCAAGAAACAGGGGTTTTTTGTTTTTAAATGCCCCTTATAAAGTCCTGCAGCTTAAGAAATAATGGGACTAGAATTACGGTAGTAACCAAAGAAATAAAAAAAAAAAAGAAATGCTACATATATAATAACAATCCTCCATCAGTAATTTATGCTATCTTGTTTTGAATCTAGTTTATATCTTTCCTTTAAAGTAGTGACATGGACTTCTATTAAATATTTCATTTATTCACAATCTTTTCTAAAATATCCATTCTGGGATAAAATTTCTAGCTTCATTCAGTTATAAATCCATCACGGAAAGAAAATTCTCAGACTATTTACTATACAACCTGAATAACAGAGAAGGAAGATACTTTTGAAAATAAAACATGCATCACCAGAAAAAAAGTTCCAAGATTATTCAATGAAATATAACTTTTAGGAAAAGCTAGCATATAGTAGTTCTGCTGAGATATATCAATATACAAAATGAACAGAACTAGGACATGGACGCTACACTCTATTCACTGAATTATACATAAATTATTCCTACCATAACCTTGTCTGAAAGATATCGTAAAGATAAAAATATGCTGGTTTTCCTACTCTTTTCAGTAAATCACCTGTAGGAAAACGCCTCCCTAGTTTTTTTCTCTTCACCTATCAATTTAATGTTTGTCCTGCTACCATTTTTTACAAGCAGAAAGCAATCTGTGCTCACTGGCAATTAAAACTGAGTGGTAAAATTATTTAAAAGAAAAACAATCGCTGTTGAATCAATGCGAATTTATGGCAATGTGTGTATTTCTGAGTACAGAGCACAGCTCTCCCCACAGGATGTGCGCGGCTGGGACCATCAGCAACCCCTCACCAGGCTTTTCTTCTTTTTTTTCTTCACTGTTTTTGTTTATTTATCCAGAATACATTATATAAATCTTTCAAAATAACTAGATATTACAAGAATAGTTTACAGTTCAGTTCTGATTGCACAAATACCTGACACAGGAAAATGGGGTTTTTTTACAAATACGTATGCTTTCTTATAAGAATACTTTAATAAAGAAAATAAGGTTCTATACATCTTAGGACAAATGGTACGCAGTCATCTCCTCATTCTTCCATTTGATCATTTTGGGTTTTCTACTAGAATACGTACATCCCATTCAATAAACTAAATTACAATCATTTTTTTCTTATTTCCAACTACTGTTGAAGATCACATTGCCAAGTATGTTCAGTGTTTTTCTCCAAATCTTTCCAGGCCTGAGAGAATTCACGTATTCAGGTTAAGAGTGGCCAGTTCAAGAACATGCTTCTAAAATACAAAGCTCATCACTGTGTTTAGTGGATGAACTTTTTTTAACTTCTCATTAGGCCAGACCAGCTAGCAGCCTTATCCTCTCTGTACTGAGGGGAAAGAGTAAGTCTCTGCATTCTTAATAGTTTCCAGATAGCAGAAAACAAGGCTTTGGAAACCAGAGTTAAATACAAATATGGCTTTTCTTCTGAGGCCCTTCTGGGTGGGTTCAAGCTTCCAATCTGGCACTTCAAACAGGCCATGCTGGGACTCAAAACCACCCGATACTGTCACTTTCACATATACTCCTACGAATATGTGTCTCCTAAATATGCTCTTAAGAAGATGACGACTCTCACATGAGTATGAAATGGATGGTAAATACTTGTTATTATGAATATGTAGGTTGTGTGACAAGCTGAATGGAACAAAGTGTTTTCAAAGTTAAGGGGAAAAAACCAACTGGTGTAAGTTGAATCAGACTCACATATGTGGACTCATCCAAATGACAAGAGATGAGACGGAAGAAGGAGGTAAAGAAGCTGGAAAGAAGTCCTGTCGCGGGCAGGACCCACGGGAACACTCTCAGATATTCTCACACTATCCACGCTGTCTCAGAGACCCAAACACCTCAACACAAACCCTGAGGAGTCTCATTAATCAGAGACACTGCGTAACCTGTGCCAGGAAGAGGTAAGTACACCTAAAGCCTACTTTGACAGAATGGTTGACGGATCAGAGGTCAGTCTTCCTGCCAACACCTTAAAACCCACTTACAATGTATTATAATAAAGTGACTAGTTCTGGACAATGAAATGTGACAGGAGAGCTACTAGAAAGGGGTTCCTTGTTTGAAAAGAGGAATATAAGGGGGAAAACTATCTCTTCTTGTCCGTAGGATGTTGTCAGATCTAAATGTGATGCCCACAATGGCAGCAGCTAACTTTGAGCATGAAGAACGCTACCTCAGGACAAAGCTGTGTCAAAAGACAGCTTGGCAGAGACACTGAATAAAGTTCCCTGATCATCAACTTGATAAAGATAACTCCTTTTCCTTTGCTTTTACCATTTGCCTTCAAGTTCCTGTTACTTTAAGATAAAAATATTTCAATTTATAAAGCAGCGTTTACCAAAACTAAATGAAAGATCCAACCTGCTGTCTTTTGGGAGATGGAGGAGACAAAAACCACAACTGGGATCTTAAACCCACTGAGAAGACACTTGGGGCAAAGTCTGGATGGTGCCAATGAAAACCACCGTATGTGTCTCAAAATGCAAAGGCTTTAATGCTCAGGATTTTTGGTCTTATGGTCTCTCACAGGAACATAAATACAGTAAATGAAGGTCCACAATTTTTTTTAACGATATTTTTTTCTTTATTCTTATTTTATTATTTTTTACGTGTACCGTCAAATCAGATCTGACTGGTACAGGAGGAGATTGCCCCCTCTTTCTCCAGCAGAGCATCTGGTGGATTTGAACCATCTGGTGGATTTGAACCGTGTATCTCTGGGATTGCAGTGCAGTGTCTTGCCACTAGGCCACCAGAGCTCCCTGAAGGTCCTCAATTTTCAAGAAGCCTTTTTATTTATTTAAAGCTTTAAATTCCTATTTGCTGCTGTGCCAAGAGGCACCCTTAATCCCCCCCTTTTAAAACCTTAGATCAATTTCTAAAACTGGAGATTAGCTAAAAATAGATATGATAGATACATAATTAGTTTGAAAGGGAATAAATAATGAAACTTTAGCAAGAATAACATGTCACATCAACTGCAGCTATTTGTACCAGGCTATTCTTCTCATTTAAACCTCTCAGCAATGTGGTAACAGTAAATTCTTAGTAAAAAACATAACAAATCAATTTTGATGATAATGATCAAAGGCAAAAGCTTTCAATATTAACTACTACTCAATACAAAAAAAACCAGTATCCTCATAACTGGACCAATAAACAATAATCGTGGTAAAAGAAAATTTTAAAAGTTGTCAAGGATTTCACATTGCTTGAATTCACAATCGACACTCCATGGAGCTCAGAAGTCAAGAAATCAAGGGACATATTATAGTGAGCAAATCTGCTGTAAAGGACTTCAATGTGCTAAAGATCAAAGATGCCTCTTTGAGGACAGAGGTCCACCTGATCCAAGCCCTGACATTTTCAGTCACCTCACATGCATGCGAGAGCAGAACAATGAATAAGGAAAACCGAAAAACTATTGATTTTTTTTTTAAAAAAAGTTTGGTGTTGGTGAAGAATATTGAACACACATAGACCAGGCAGAAGAAAGAACATGTTTCTCTTCAGAAGAAGTATAGCCAGAATGTTCCTCAGAAAAGAGGAAGAAGGGAAGACTTTGTCTCATGTACTTTGGACATGTTATCAGAAAGGGTCAGTCCTGAAGATCATCAGGTTTGGGAGAAGGTGGGCAAAAAAGAAGATGACTCTCAGTTCGATGGATGGAGAAGAGACTCAGGGAGATGGGCTCAGAGGGAAGATGGATGTGAGGAGGGCTGCACAGGAGTGGGGAATGGTTCATTCTATTATAAATCGCAGTTATTCTGTGTCAGAACCCCATTGATAGCATCTAACAACAGCATAAACCAATTTTCTCTTTTTAGGAACAATAATTAGACAAACTGGTAAATGTTCCCAAAATGAATTAGCTCAAGATAGTATTTAGAAATAAATCTCATAGCTGAGGATAAGTGGTAGAAAGATTCCTCTTAAGGCTTTACTTATACGCCAACACATTGCCTAAACACCGCAGAATGTCTTTAAAATATGCAGGTTCATACAAAACTTTGACTAACTATTAAGGTCTAGTTTCCTTTCCAAAGTCAAGTTTATCTGATTCTCTGGGAGTGGGTATTTTGTTTTGTTTTGGGGGTGTTGGGTTGGGTTTTTTGTGTTTTTTTTTTTTGGTTTGTTTTTCTGATGCACAGTGATTCAGATAGGTTGAGAAGCACCAAGTTAGGCTTCATTCAATAAAGAATTAATCACAAAAGCTTTTTGTCATTGTTGAGAATCACCAAGTTGGGAAAAACTCATAGCTGACCGAAGATATTTTAATCAATAAAATAATGTAATCTTTATTATTTGGGCCAGTCATTAACTTTTGGGGACTTCTTCCACATTTTATCAACCCATCCCTGCAGGTTGTTAGTGTTGCATAATTTTTACACCATCACTATTCCTTTGTAGTGAAAATACTTTAAGATAGTGAGGTTTTAGTCCTTGTTTAAATATTTTTTGGTGGTCTAATCAGTGTAGCTCTGCTCATTCAGTTTAAGAAAGCTTTTCGATGTTAAGTGTATTCTTAAAATCGGTCAGCCACAGGATAAAAATCAGAATAGGACCAAAAGCTGGAAAACAGATCAACAGCAATGATTCGAGATGTTGAGAAAAACTAGAAGGTCCAGATGAAGTTCAGGACAAGGCTGGCCTGTGTGACCGGCATTCATTGGCCCAAGCACGGCAATAGGCACAAAGCAAGCCACTCAAATGTTAAATGAGCAGGAAAAACATGCAGAAGCCAGCATTAGTGGGGAAGAAAGTGCATCAGAATCTAGATGGGCCACAGGGACCCACACAGTACAATGACCTCTAGAGACAAAAGCCCACTGCTTGGAAGGCAAGGGCGGAAAGGACTATTAGATTGAATTCCCTCAAAGGAAGCACGATTTTCATGTACCAGTGACTGGAGTAGAGTGTTACTTCCTGTGGAGCCCTTTGAGAAGCTTAAGAACACAGGCTATTTCCTTCACAGAAAGAATTTTTAAAATTAACTGTGAAAATACTTAGCAGCCCACTCTGTGTGCATTGTTTTTTTAAGGTTAAAGGTTATTTAAAAAAAAAAGTTTCATTCTCCATGTTATTTGTTACCTAGTATCCAAAACACACACACACACACTCTCTGAGCTGCTTTTTCCGGTTGGGATAATTTACACCTTGAACTAATCCAGTTAGCTAATGAGGCCCTTCCTTCCCTCTTCAGCCCAATGAGATGCAGTGGAACTGAAATCTTCTCTAAGTAGATTGATGCTTCCAAATGGGTAATAAACTCATGATGAGGTAAGCTCAGATCCTTTTCCTTGACAGATGGCTCAGAGATCTTAGTTCTCATTCTGATATGCTAATTCACAAGTCAGCTATGACACTTGATAGAAGAAGTAGTTCATTATTTGGGTTAGGAGTCTCAGTTTAAAGGGGCAGCACTGAAGTCAATCTAAAATTCTGACAAACTATTTCATGGGTATAAATGTGATTCCTAAAAGCATTACACACTGGTTTTTTTCCCCCCCTAAACTAGTTGTAAGTGCAAATGAGCGCCACCCCTAAACTTTCTCAAACAACCCAGAAATTGGACAGTCATTAAAAAGTAGTTGGCTTTTCAATCTGAGCCAATGACTAAGCTTTTCAGTGCTCAACCAAACGGTTCTCTTCCTGTAAGAATGCTAAGTATCTATCACAAAAATAACAGTTTTAGAAAATATCAAGAAAACCAAAACCTGTCCCTAATTCTACCAGCCAGATTATAGAAACAAACTATTCATGTTATTGTACTTATTACATTTTAAAATACACCTGAAATAATGCAATACAAAATTCACATTCTGCTTTTTTGGCTTATTATTATATAGTAATTCCAGTATTATAAAAAGAGATTGTGGCTATAAAAATGTTGTTAAGAAGATTAAGTTAACCATTCCCTACTTGTTGGACTCAGTGTCTTTAATTTAGTTTTAGAATTTTAATATTCTAAAAGCAGCAACATGAAGATATATGTTGACAAGTCATTTTCTGAATTCAGAATATATATTTAATAAATGGATATCCTTATTCTTACCAGACTCGCCAGCACCAAAATGATCAAACGGATTCCCTTCGGCATCTGGATTTAACAACATCATTTCAAACTGGATATCTTCCGCCTGAGAATGTGCCGAGTCCTCCTTGCATGTGTACTTGTCTGCATAGAACACGTGCCATGTCTCTGGATGCGGAATCTGTGATATTGTCAGATTGTGTTCAGTCTGATTCATAGTCACTTTAAGGAAAAAGAAAACAACACTTTCAAAGCAAACTCTCAAATGTTAAACTGTTTTGGTCATATGACCAACTTGAAGTTTGAACATTTATTTTTTACTTCTTATTGTCTTGGGAATACCTGCAGAGTCTCGGACAAGCTTGCAAATCATAAAGCAAGTATGGGGAAAAAACACCCCACAAAAAACCCACACATTCTTTTTAACTAGCAGAATCACCAATGAAGTACTCTGAAACAGCAGAAATGTTTAGAATTATTCCACCAAAATTTGATTTTAAATTTTAAATATCTTCAATGTTTCCACAGAGGTTCAGCAGCATTCCTGGAAATTCCTCCTTGATTTCAATTTAAAATGGACCATGAGGAAATCATTACAGTACATTTAAAACCTGTGGCTGACAAATATTTTCAATAGATTTTTCCAAAGTCTCTTGTTAGAAATTATTGAGAGATAATAAGCATGTTTATATTGGACTTGGTTCATGTGAGGCATATGATATAGTGAGACAAAAATTTCCTGGATGTTGGCATCAAACAGATGTGTATTTAAATCCTGGCTGCAACACTTCTCTGTCATATGACCATGGGCAAGTAACATAAGCACTGACACTCAGTTTATCCATCTGTAAAATGAAGATATTACCTACAGCAGAGAGCTGATAGAAGATCTAAATTGAGACAGCATTTAAATCTATCACTGTTTACATCTATTATGCGGCTGGTGGATCTGAACTGCCAGAAAGCAGCTGCTTTTGGGTTACAGAGCAATGCCCTACAGATTAAGCCATTAGCTCCTTTTGAAAAACATTAATGATACTTAATATCCCTTCCAGATGGAAAAGTATGACCGATTCCTAAGAGGCACTCACAGGGTGTAAAGGGAGTAGCATCCCAAACATGGTAAATAATGAGTAGTAAGGGTGAGGAAGTCTAAGTGAAACAGTACATGCAAATCTCACTCCAAGAGCATGATTCCAAACAAAGCTTTGTTGCTGTTAGCCGCCACCGAGCCAGCCCTGTCACGGTGACCTCAGGTGAAGACAGCAGAAGTGACCACAGTGTTCTCAAGGCTGTGACCTTTCAGAGGTAGACTACCAGGCCAGCCTTCAGAGAAACTTCTGCTGAGTTCAAACTGCCGACCTCTGACTAGAATCCGAGTGCTTAACTTTGTACCGCTCAGGGGTCTGTTTATACATTCAAAAACCTCAGCTACATAAATATAATACAAATGTAAATCATATACACTATTTTTTAAATATAAAAAAATTAACAACTACCAATCAACACTATCAAGACATTTTATTAACAATATCATAGCACATGCTGCTTTCTGAGCTACCTTCAGTTGGCTGACAATTACACTGTTTCATACTGTATTGCTTTGTATACTAAAAATGCAGCAAAGATTCCAGTTTGGAGATCTTTAGAGAGAACTGAACATATGATCAAAAAAGGTCAGCAATAAGGCTTTTAAAATGTGGACCCTGCAATTACATAATCCAGATCTCATTATTTAAAAGTTATATTTTGCTGCTGCTTTATCACTTTTTCCATTAGAGAAAAAAGTAATATAAAAATGCACCACTATATTTTTACCAGCTAAAAGATCTGAACATTCAGATTGACATACACTAGGAAGAAGGACTGGCCATACACTTCCAAAACAGCAGGCCTCTGAAAACCCTATGTATAACAGAACACACATAGAATGACAGAAAAGGCAACTGAGTATGGAAATACAAAGGAAGAGGAACAGTTGTAAGCAGACACTAGTGACTGGAACATGGAATGTGAGAACCACAAATGTGGGAAAATTAGATATTGTTAAGAAGGAAACGGAACGCGTAAGTATTGACATACTAGGCACTGGTGAGATGAGATGGACCAGCATGGGGCATTTTGAATCAGATGATCATATGATATACTACTCCAGAGATGAAAAGGTGAGGAAAAATGGAGTTGCTTTCATAGTTAAAAAAGTCATTGCTAGATGCACCTTGAAGTACAATA